TACTTATGTTATGGTGGTCATCAGGACTCCTTTGGTCTGATTCAGTAGGTAATTTTGGAGGTCTAAGAATACTCAATTATTTTTCATGTAAACTAATGGTAATGACTTCTTCACTTTAGAACATTTTAGTGTAAGAAAAAGATATCATACAAGTATTATATTTTCCAGGAATAGGAGAAGACTGCATCATTTTTCTAATTTAGATTTTTGATATGATGCAGTACATATATTGATGCTGAAATATTGAGCCAGACCTACATGTGATATTTTTTTTAAATCCCAAGGTTGTTTGGTATTCATTTTATGTCTCGCAATTGGAGTTCTGGTGTGGAGTTCTAGGGTCCAATTAGGATCAACTGCTAACCACAAGGTTGGCAGTTCAAACCCATCAGGCATTCATCAGAAATCCTATGCAGAGTTGTAATGAGTCAGACTGTCTTGACAACACTCAACAACATCATTGCAGTATACCTACTACTTACTTCTTGCTAATCTTTTTTTTATGACATTCTGCATTAATGACAACTTTGAAAAACATTCTCAGATGGCACTTTTAATGGTCTGGACCACACAGGTCTGCAGCCAGGCTCAGGTAATAGGAGACACTCTGAAGCCTAATCTAAATTATCTAATAGAGGTCCTGGTGAAGCCTGGCCCACATGAAAAATGGTGGCAGAATATCCTTTTCCCATTCATCTACAATGTCTTGGTTTGGCCATGGAGCATGCGAGTCAAGGACAGGAGGACAGAATGTTGCAGACAGATAGGTGGAGGTTAGATAAGGGCCTGAAGATGCTGGGAAGGCTGGTGGGAGTCGTGGGAGTTGAAAAGGTGAAGAGTAAGGGGAGCTATGTAGGACTATAAGGCTCAGACATAGCAAGGTCTCCACCCAGGGTAGTCAGCAGGATTTGTCAGGCAATGGACAACACCCAACCACTACCGCCATTATCATCCCAAACACCAAGGGGTCTGAAGAGGTTGGAAAAGCTAGATGATGATGGAGAGACCATAATGCTCATATTCAAGTGGTGCCCAGGAGGGAGCCAGGGTGGCACTTTCACAAGGATCTGACTCTTATATAATACCAATTTTTCATAATGACTTGGCGTTTGGATTCTAACCATGTCCGAAAGTGAGGAGTGTGTGTATTTTTACAATTACCAAATTCTATTCTTAGAATCATATATTTAGTATTCTTCTGGACAAGTAAGAGCAGAAGATTCTGTACAGTTTAGGAAGATATATTTCTTGACAAAGACAGATTGTCTTATTTAAAAATATTTTTTATGTAACATCCATCAAAGATAGTATTTTGTAACATAAAACATGGTATGTTTTCTTTTCCCAATGTTTTAGTGTTTCATTTAATTACCATTTCCATTCACAACCAAACAAATGAGGCAATATATCTTTTGAATATGTGGCAGATACAATTTAAAGTAAAGTCTATGACACATAATTCTTGCTCATTCAAGTCTACAATCTCCTTGTGAATATGAAAAAAGACTGTCTTGGCTCTATTTAATACAGTATGATTGTTGCAATTGTTAGATGTTGAATGGGTGATGTGTTAGCAATGTTGTGATTGTGCTACCATATATGTGACCCTTGCTAGCCATTTTTTTCTTTCTTTCTTGAGGCTATCTCTCCATTGCTAGCTTTGAAGAAGTAAGGTGCCGTGAATTTTATAGTCATAACAGAATGGATTCTGTCATCAACGTTAATAAGATTAGAGGGACTTCCAGTTGGCAGTGGCAGAGCAGAGTCAGGTAGGACAGGCTCTGTGGGG